GAAGCAGGAAATAAAAAGGAACTCACCTTGTGGTATAACCGGCAAAAGAGAAAGCCTTTGAGCTCCATACTGTTTCAGAAATAATCCTTGATAAGGCATTTCATCACCGCAGAATCTGCCGGTAGAATCTCCCGCATGAGCTCAGCCCCCTCCTTTTTTTTTTTTAAAGCTTTATACCCCAAATCAGCACTTTTGAAACAGGAAGTGAAATAGAGGGATATGAGGCATGGCTAGAATGCGTGATCTGTTTGGTATTTTGAGCAAAACACTTTATAGACATGTTTTTTTATAGACATGATATATTTTTATATATCTGAGACCTATGCTATTGCCTAAAAATAGCATGATAGGTGCACTTTAAAGAAAAAGCAATGCAATTTTTTTTCACAATTTGTTTAGTTAGTTTACCTTATACGATACGAGTACCGTTAAAGGACCGGATCGATAAGCGGTATTGATGAAAGTAGTAGTACCGTTAAAACTTTAACGATACCCATCCCTAATTAGGACTTTCAGTTTTATAACAATAGAAAAGAGATAGAATGCTAAAAAATCACCTTCAGTTGGCCAAGCTGTAAAGATCGCTCTCTCTCACTCTGGGCGTCCATCAGCTGCGACTGAGCCTGAATGAGCTGCTGCTCCAGACGACAAATCTACAATGTCACAAATCAAATGAAATTTCATTTTAATTTTCATTCTGGTATACTGTAGGAGGTAGAATCAGTGCTACTTTTCCATATTGTGTTTGTCTAATCTCCAAACCAAGGTGGATCCATATGGCTGGTTAATAATAACTTGTATCAGCCTCATTATCTCTTTGCGTACATTATTGCTCATCATCTTACTGTACATTCTTCCTTACCTGATCTTTGTGGCTGCACAGGGCTGACTCCAGTTCACTGATCTGACCCTGGTGCAGTGATGTCTGTCTCTCTGCAAGTTTCCTGGGTAAAGAAGGTATGTATTATTTATTTGACACATATACATTAATTCAGAAAATGTATGATTGTCTGATCATTTATTTAAATAGAATGAAAAAGTCACTGATAAAACAGCCACAAACGGATTTTGGAAAGATACTTACTTTAGCAGCTCTAACTTGACATTCAGGCTGATGCTGTTGTTTTTTGATGAGGTCAGTTTGTCAGTCAACAGCGCCATCTCCTGGCCAAGACTAGATATCAGGCCTTCCATTCTAGGACAGAGAAATGTGAACAATGCGGTCACATTCTATTTATAAAATACAATGCTACTCCATTCTCTGTCTCAATCCATACACTGCAGTTCTCCTTTAAATTACCTTTCTTTTTGCTTATTTACTCCACTGCGTCCCTCACTCCCCAGATGGTTAATTGACTGCCAATAACAGAAGAAAATATATTTCAGACATAATAAGAGAAAATATGTGAGTCGAAACATAAAGTAAACTGAACGTGACCTGTAGATGACTTCTATTACTTACCAAAAAAAGTCTTTCCTGTAGCTCCTCTGTCTCATCATTAAAAATATCAGTAAACCGAGCAGCCGGTGTTGAACTTGTATGGAAGTTAGGACTGCTGATTGCATTGTCCCCACGTTGTGTCTCCTGATATAACAGTGAGTACATCTGCTCTACATTTTGTTCCAATGCCTCTACTTTTCTGTTAAGTGCCAACGTCTCATCTTCCGTCTCAAGTAGCTCTTGGTCCTTGGCCCTTTTGATGTTTTGGATCTCTTCCAACATGAACAGCATCTTTTCCATCTGACCAACGTGTGTCCTTGAATCCTTCAATCTACAAATACAAAAGATCTGTGGCTCAAAGCAATTTAAACACTTATTTAGAGGAGTACAACTTGATCAGTGTCTTTACCTGAGGTCAGAGAGGCCGTCCTTCTCCTTCTGGACTTTGTTCAACTTAGTCTGCAGGTTCACGATGGCTTTGTCAAACCTGAACGTCTCTTGTTCTGGTTCATCATGCGTCTGTGTTTGAGAGGGTAAAATAATACATTATACAGGGAAAGCAGTACCAATAATTAATTCAGACCACATCAAACAATTAGGATTCATGGCTGAAAGAAAATTATGAACCTTGTTGAGCTCCAGGTCAGACAGCTGTTGAAGAGAATTATCTATTGTATTTTCCAACACCTTCTTTCCAGGAGAGCTGATATCCGTTTGGTTTAAAATATCCAGATCACAGACCAGTGGCTGAATCACTGCCTGCTGCTGAGTTGAAAGAATAGAGGAACCTCCATCGTCTGCCAAAAAATCAAAAGATGTTTAAAATAAACACTGTGTATGTTGTGAAAGTTAAGGGCTGGTAAAACATGCGTTTGTGATATAACAGGTAAATGTGCTGGGCTCTTGGCTTATGTTTCATACTTTTTTTTATAAATACTATGCTTTCAAATGTTTTTTACCCACACATTTGTATATCTAGTAGGAGGATTTATATTTTAGATGAACCTCCAGCTTTACCAAATTGAGTGTTTTTTATTGTGTTGTGTTGTGAAATAAATAAGCCCTTGCTTAACACATTATTTGTTCATTTTTTTGGCTGCTGACACATAAGCAAAATGTTGTGTGACGCTGCTTGCACTCACACTCATTAAACCTGTAGTTGTGGTTGCTCCTTCCTGGTGAGCTGTGGATGCCATATGTGCAGCCAAATCTCTCCAAAGTTTCTTTGGTTGCGGTTTCCACCTCTTCCTGAAGCCTCTGGGTTTCTTTGGTGCGCCTTTCAAGCTCCTCACTGTAAAACAAACAAATCAAATCTGAGTTTATAAAGCCCAATATCACAAAACACATTTGTTGCAGTGGACTTTACAGATTAACAAACATAGATGACAGTGTTAAAAGATAAATAAAATTACAAGAATTTTTTTTTTTAAACTAGATAGAATCGATAAATAATAAAATGAGATAAAATACAATGAAACTATCAAATGTAAGACGCAGGAGGAAAAACATAGGGTAATCTTAGACGTCTCTAACTATAGGCTTTATTAAAAGGAGGGTCTTCGACACACTCTTAACATTTTGGACACTGTCTGGCCGTTTCTCAATCGCGAGGATGCTGGCTTGGTAGCACAGCCGAGCCGAGCATCTTGCTTCAGAAGCAAGGCAAGAATACTTCCTGGCATTTGGAAAACAAAGAGTGGAACAGGCTAGCAAGTGTGCAGGTGTGCGTCATATGAGAGGCCCCGCCTTACATCTTCCGCCACAGATTTGGGGAAATTGGTCCATGCGCAAAGCATTGTGGGGATTTTAAGGACGCAAAGTCTACCCATGTGCAGCCTCGAAATTTCCCCCAAACCAAGGGCGCGGCCTCGGTGGAATTCCAAGTATGCTGGAGATTGGAACAGTCCTTCGGCGGCACTCAATGACGTAGCATCCTTGAAATATTGGCTTGGAAGCCAATATCCTCGCGATTGAGAAACGGCCACTGACTCCTGATCAAGTTTTGCGGACTCTGGGAACCACTAACAGACCTGCACTCTTGGGGCATAGGGCCCTAGAGGGGACTTAAATATATCATTAATCAGGATATATGGAGAGTATTACTCGTAGTGATGCCATACCACAGTGGAAACTTCTTTTAAACGTCAAGAAGACAAAAATAAGAAAGACTTCTCAAGGTCAGGTCAGGGTTACAGTATTATTAGTAAAGTGAGAGGTTATTAAAGTGTAACATCATTCCAGGTCTGAGCCCTGTGCTCTGTGACATCTGTGCCACCTCTGGCGAGACGAGGTTAATATTCTTTTTATATACAATTATTTGTACATACAACTATTTTTATATACAACTCTCAGGACATAGTTCCCAACCTGTTGAGCGAGCATTTGTTTTGCAAGGGTCAGGGCTTATTTAAAACAGTAAATGGTGTGTTGATCCGATCCAAAAGGCAATTTTATAAAAATTGGTAAGAAAATCAATGTTCACACCAGCACTTTCTCTTTTAATACAGAAACATATCTTTATTTCACAGCTCAGGAACAACAGTACCTCTTTAATGAAATATCACTTGAGTCACCACTTGGTTTTAGTGTTATTTACAGTAAATGCTTCAATGCAGATTTATTTTTGTTAAGTTTAAATGATTTGTTTTATTTTTATTTTGACTACATGTTAGGCACATTTGTTGTGAGTGACTGTCTTTGAATTACTTGATATAAAGTTAGAAATAGGAATGTTTACCCTTTGATTGCATGATTTGTAGATCCATTATTAAGACATTATTATTATTATACTAAAGCAGTGGCTGCTCATGGGTTGGTATTGAGCTTAACATAAAATAGGCTGATGGCTACAAAACAGGAGCTATTTGTAGTAATGCATTTAGGCACAATGGTTGTAACTACCTCAGTTCATCCAGAGTCAAGTTGTTAAATCTCAGCCGAAGAGAGGCGTCACGGGTCTCTGTAGAGGAAGTTAAACAAATTACTTTAGGAACTGAACTATTCATAACAAGTTCACAAAACTGGAGGTTTAGCAAGTAAGCCAACATAGATTTCACTGGCTTTAGCTTGTTTACTGTAACTTACCAGCTGTTCCTGATGGGTTAACGCCTTGTACAACTTTAGCGCCATTATTGCAAGAAAGTCGAATACTCTGAGGGTCGGGGGACTGAAACCCTGATGACATCTCTTTTCACAATCTCCTCAAAGCTAACATCAACAGCTAGCTAGACAGTGAGTTATCGTTAAGCTATGTTCCATCACCATGGAAACTACATCAGTGGCTAACTACTAGCTAGCTTTATGCTATTGATAATTTGCTGTATCGTGTTGGCGTTAAAACCAAACGTAGTTAACATTGTTTGGCTGTCTATGTTAGTCTTGTATTCCGTTAGGTTAACCTGAAGCTGAAATGATTAGCAAAAGTAACGTTAGCGCCGACACTTTGAAACATTCCGTCAACATCCGCTTCCCCCCCCCCCCCCCCCCCCCTCCCCTCCCCCCCGTTGTGACGCAAACGTGCACCGGAAAGGCGTTTCCAGCAATGGATGATGGTCATTGTAGTTTATCAGCAGTTGTTTGTTTATTCAGGGCGGACCCTCTCTTTTCTGCAGGGATTCAGGGATCGTTTCTTTTAACATTCACTGCACAACATTGTATCAAAATGGAAGCATGAAGTATTAAGAGGTGCAATTCAGTTGCATCGCTTTTATTACCCTGCACGTCTGCGGCTTCTGGGCAAGGTAAGACGACAATTTGTTGATTTTCGCTAGCAAGCTAGCTTAGGTAATATTGACATATTTTGTGTTAGACGCATTGAGCGTTTTGGTATTTACAAGTGAACAGCCTTATTCTATTAATTCAGCCTTTTCTGAAATGTGTAACAGTGACCCGTTATGATTGACCTGTTCGTGTTGTTTAGCAGACATCTACATTTAATCCAAACTATTGTCAACATTGCTTTTACGACGCTTTTTCGACGCGTATTCCCAATGCAGTAATCAAACCAACCCTCTTATAATACAACAACCATGTTATGATTTAAATGAGATCAGGAATGTGTTGTTTTTGGGCGGTTTGGGGAAAATCTTCCAGTGACACCTGACACCAAGTAGGTGTGGTTTAGGAGACACCATTTATAAGCCCTCTCCTCCTCTCTATAACCTGGGAAAACAGTTGTTGGAGACTTTCTCTTGCACTTCAATGCATAACCATTGAAATATGTTTTGTTTTAGGATGAGGGATCATCAAGCCATTGACAGCTGGCTCCTGAAAGAGTTGAAGGCATGTTGTGCAAAAGAGTACAACTTCCTTCCCAGAGAGGCTGGACTGAAGCTGATGGAGTCGGCTTCCACAGAGGTACCAACTGAACTACTTCTACATTTTGGGCTGTCTGCGCAGATTTTTTAAGATTTCAAAAAAGATATGATATATTCCCAACAATGTCTAATATATTGTGCTTTATTTTTAGAATCACAGTGGAGTGTCTGAAAAATGCAGAAACACCAGAGTGGAAGAACTGTGGGGCCTGACCAGTTTCTTTGGATACAGCGCTCAAACGTTTGTGCAAGCTGTCAATTTGCTTGATAGATTCCTCACCACTATGAAGGTAGGAATAAATTGTTGTTATTTTATTTCATGTGAAGCGTCTTTGAGCGTTAGGAAAAATACTAATCCCATGTAGTATTATTTATTATTATTATGTTTGCACCACCAGACACCAAAGCAAATTCCTTGTCTGTGTAAACATACCTGGCAATAAACTTGATTTGGATTCTGATTAAATCATTTAACTGTAATGTGTTTTTTACAAGTTAAAACTTTGCATGTTTTCATCTCACGATCACAAAAACAACAATGACCTTGAATCATGGGATGTTAGGCCTGTACTACGAAGCTGGTTCAACCTAACCTGGATATGTTTGAGTTAGCCAGTTGGCCCAATCCAAAACATACGCGCTCTGGCTAAACTGTACTACGACGCTGGTTATCAAGTGGATAGCTCAAGCCAGCCGTGTCCTATCTAGTTAGGTGCGCGTTCACATGAAAGGGGTGGTATTTGGAGCATTCGACCAATCTCAAACACGGACAAGCGTACTGACAGCGCAGCGTCATACTTCCTGAATGAAAAGTGAACTTTAATATTAGTCAAATATGAAGAAGTTAAACTTTAAACATCCATGACTTAAACACTTTATCCAGGATAAAAGCCACATAGCTGCACCTGCAAGGTGAATACAGCTGGTAAAAGAAAAAGTGTTTGAATGCGTACATTAACAGGTTTATGAAATCACTGCCCCGTCCAAGACACGAGTGGATCTGACTTTAATTAGGAGAATTTGACTCGAGTGTTTCATCAACTTAATGTGTTGCTTAAAATAATACTTCTGCATACAGTATGTGACACTGTGAGTGTTGCACGGCCAGATACGGCTCAGCTTACTCAGATAAGGAAATATATGATACATTATGATGTGATATGATATGAATGATAATGGGACACATCGACGTCTGCACTCACAGTGCCGCGGACTGTACTTAATGTTACTCTGATCCGGTTACTTATGTCGTGGCAGATATTTAAGTAAGCTTTCTTAACGCTAATATTATAATAGTTTGATTGCTCTGAAGATGGGAGGGGATATTCTATTAATTTTCACGTTCACACAGTCAGTTGATTTTGGCCGGCCGTCTTTCCTGCAACGGCAGTTTTTCTGTATTTCCTCTATCCTGTAATATGAATTGATCGCTTTAAACTCCGCACACGGAGCTCTGATTGGTCAGCAGGCGGTGCTTTCACTGAGTTGATCTCTTAGCCTGCCACCTAACCTGCTCCGGAGCAGGTTTGCCGCTCAGCATAAGTTACCATGGAAATCTAGCCTGCTAAAAAGAGAACCAGCGTCGTAGGACCGGAAAGCCCGAGATTTCCCTGAAGTTAGCCAGCTAAGCGAAAATCCAGCTTCGTAGTACAGGCCTGTTGACTCACACTTATCACTGTTGTGTTATGGTGTCAGGTGCAGCCCAAACACTTGCCCTGCATTGGAGTCTGCTGCCTTCACATTGCAGCAAAAATGGTCGAGGAAGAAAGCAATGTCTCACCCACCCATGAACTCATTCGCATCAGCCAAAGCAAGTTCACGGTGTCTGACCTGTGTCGTATGGAGAAGATAATCTCAGAGAAGCTGAGCGTGGAGCCCGAGGCAGTGACAGCTATAACCTTTCTGCACCTCTACTACCCAGCCTTTACATCCCTCTCAGCTGGAAGGTAAGCTTTTCATTTTCTTTTGCTTACTCTTATTATTATTGCTGATACATTGCTCCAGTTTGCATTGAGTTGGTCAAACACATGCTGCCTTATGAGCTTTTTACTGGCGGATCACATTAGGATTCCCTCTATATTTTAAGGGAGGAGATCCCAAGCATTGGGAGACTGGAAGCCCAGCTAAAAGCCTGCTTATGCCGGCTTGTTTTCTCTAAAGCAAAAGTAAGGATTGATATCCGGAGAACATTTCATAGCATAGCAGACTTCACACTGTGTCATGTGACTTATGAATTTACTGATTTCCTTCTTCACAGCCATCAGTGCTGGCACTGTCCCTCATTGCTCAAGAGTTCGAAGGCCTCCAGTCCATCGCCTTGTTGAAGATTGTACAGCAATTCCAAAGACACCTAAAGGTATTTAGGATAGGGCTGCCACAACTCATTATTTCCTTAATTAATCAATGATGTTTACGCTGTAAAAATAATATCTACTTAGTGTAAAATGGCCATCACATCTCCTTATAGACCTTGGTATCTTAAAATGTCTTGTTTTGTCTGAGAAATAATCTGAAACCACTTTAAAAAATGACTTAAGCAATTTGTTATCCAGCTTTTAGGCCACAAATATTCTATAGATTAATTATAGACTAAATCAATTCGCACTTTTTAAAGTTACGCTTTCATTAGGCTTCATAGTGTCTGATGCGAAATCTATATTTTTGATAAATAATCCAACTTCTTTCCTCTATGTTTTTCTGGACTTTTTTGTCCATTGCTGTCAGACTCTTGGATTCAATTTGTTTTCACTATTTTGCATCACATTATGTTAAAAGACATATTTCACAGCATTTAGCTCTCTTATATGGCTCATATTTTACTGTTTTTTTCCTTTACTCCATTACTTCTTACAACAATCTTACATCTGCCTTGTATAATAAGTCCTTGAATTTAAATTGCACAATGTGGCATCTCAGTGTCACCGCCTTACCACGTCAACATGTATGTGGGAAAACTTGTTGATGACTTTTAAGGCCTAGGCTCCACGGGAACGAAAACGGGTTGTATCCGCATATTTCTCTTGCGTATAGCCCTTTTTGCTACACGACGCCGTAACGGAACGGTAGAAACGGACCCTGCAAACGACAACGGGTCCAAAGGTGGATAGATCTGGGAACGGAGCGCTCTGGGGGGGCCGTGGGGTAGCCTATACGGTCATCCTTTTCTGATAATGACGACGCAATAGCCCCGCCTCTCCCCGCCTCTGCTGCTCACCCCCGCAAAAGTACACTGCACACTGAATTCAGATTATTTATCTTTATCTCGATATGCACATAAACGCGAGTGAAGTCTAATCTGACAGGATGGAGACACGCAGCTCCTCCCGCTGTGATGCAGCGGGAGCAAAACACACACTTCAAGTCAGATCATCACCCTTGGCTATTTTAATTACCTCTCAAACTACCTAAACTAGTTATAAATATGTTTATTTTTACTGTCGAGTCATCATTACTGGATCAGCTGCTGCATGAGACAGACACTGACGCTGTCAGAAGAGAGGAAAAAGAGACAGGCTCAGTGTATTTTATGATTATATATCATTATATCGTCGTTATTCATTTGTTTTAAAGCTCAATAAATAACAATGAAGACCTTTGACCGGCACTTTTATAATTTTGTCCGGAAGATTTAAACTTTAACACACGTTGACCGGCGAAAAACTCTGCCCGGTTCCGTCGGCCCCCACGGCGGAGAATAAACAGAAGTGCAGCCATGATAACCATTCTTCTTCGCTGCTTTTGTGGAGGAAGTTGCTGCTTTTGTGGAGGAAGTTACAGCGCCACGTACAGGCTCGGCATATGTACTGCAGCTTTTCCAGCGGTTGGATCTAAACGGAGCTGTCTCGTGTGAACAGACACTATCCGGTGTATATTGCGTGTGGACGGAAGCTTTTTGGCGATTGCGTTTGCGTTAATCCTATGCGTTTTGCCGTATGCGTTCCCGTGGAGCCTGGGCCTAAGACTGTTTTCTGTTTGCCGCCTCTCAAATGTTTCCTGTTTTTTTTTTTTTCACAGATCAGTGAAGGCGAGCTTCTCCACTGGAAGGAACTTGTGGCAAAATGCATGACTGAATACCGCTCAAGTGAATGTAACAAACCAGACAACAAAAAGCTTGTTTGGATCGTTTCGAGGAGGACGGCTCAGAATCTTCAAGCCAATCACTTCTCCGTGCCCGGCCTGCCAACGATTCCCGAGGGGAGCTGGGACGAGAGTGAAAGGTTAATATTCCAGTTTCTTTTTCCCGAATGCCAACGCACACATTTTTAAGTTTCATGGAGGCCTCCAATTTATGAGTTGGACAAATCACAGCTGCTAACAGTAAATACATGTTTGCTGGAAAAGACAGTCTTACCAATCCAAGCCTTAATTTAATACACACTCTGGCCTTTTTGATGCCTACATTTGAATGTTTAGCCCTGGCTCAATAGCATTTTTAGACCTTTCATGTAAATAGCCACATGTTTTATACTTCACACTTGAAGTTTGCAACACATGCTTTTTGAAAATGTGTCTCCTAGCCAAAGCCGAAAAAACTCTATAGTTATTTTCTTTAAGGCAGAGCACATATAGCTTTGGAACTGGAGGGTCGCTGGTTCAAGTCCCAGAATGGACCAAATACGGAGTGTGGACTGGTACTTTGAGAGGTCCCAGTTCCCCTCCTTGTTTCTGCCAAACTGCCCTTGAGCAATGCCCCACACTGCTCCATGGCGAACTGCATACATAACAACTGCCCACTGCTCCTCAAACTTAAAGTTAAATGCAGAGTCTAAATTTCACTGTGCTTTGGCGATGAAAAAGTAGATTTGAATTGAATCCTTCATTTCCATTACACAACATGTTCTGTCTGTTCACTCATTGATTAATCAGCACTCAGTATTAACGGCATCTTTTTCTCCCCTAGCGAGGACTCTTGTGAGGACATGAGCTGTGGAGAAGACAGCCCATGCGGCTCGCCAGGAAGTGACGGCGAAGGAGCCTTCTTCTCCTCTGCCTTTCTCAACCGCCAAAAGTGACGAGTCCTCATTGTGAAGTAGTCAGAAGTGTGTTTGTCCCCTGAACTGTATCTGATTTAAGGTGGTCCTCATGTTTCTGAGCAAACCCGTGTTTCACTCGTCATACCACCAAAGGTACGACAAGTGACATGTTTCAATCATTAAGTGCCTGTGTTGATTCAGTTAACTGTCGTTTTTTTTTATGTTATAAAAAACATATCGTATTAATGCAAAATGGAAAATTGCAATATCTTGGCAGCTTGATGGTAATCTGAATGTCTTTTTCCGAGATGTTCTCTTTTGTGTTTGTTTGTGTCCAAGCTGGGCATACTCCAGGAAAAGCAGTGAAGCACAACGGAGAAATAGTGTATATCAGTCATGAGGTACACTCACTGTTGAATACCAGCTAACACACTAACACATTCTCAAAAAAAAAATGTAACCCGTTTTTATAACCATTACTTTAAAGTGGACCTATCATGCTATATTTGAATAATATATTGTAGGGCCATACCTATATAAAACATGTCTGTGAAGTTTTTTTTTCAAAATACCAAACAGATCATGCATTTTAGCCATGCCTCATTTCGCTCTATTTGCTGTATTCCAGCACTGTTTTTGCAAGGGCTGATTCTGTGGCAAATGAGCTGCAGCTGACCACGCCGCCCTGCAAAGGAGGGGGGCGTGGCATGAGCGTCATGTTACCATGCTGTTACCATGCTGTTACCATGCCACGGCAACCTCTCATTCCCCTGATAGGTGGAGCGTTGTTCATGTAGGCGGAGCGTCACCGCCCACTATTCCGGGCTGATGTCGGGTCGGATGGAATCTGTATCCGCTCGTTGTAGCCCCGTTTTTAAAAGATTTGGGTACGGAGGAAAAGAGAGGGTTGTATTTTCTGACACTTGGTGAGTTCCCTGGAACACCGGGGACACATATTCATGTATAAAAGACGTACACAAGTGCATTTTGCATGATAGGTCCACTTTAAATATACACAGTATTCTGCAAGTGTATGTTATGTACACAATCCTAATGTGGCAAATAGACCTTTGTAGTGTGAAAATACCAGACTGTATATGCATGGCATCATAGAATATGTGATTATGAATGGATGTTTACCAAAATAAACTTACTGTAAAAGAAAAGTTTAAAAAAATGTATATAACATGTAAAAAAAGAAGGAAAAAATTGTATGTTTTGTGAATGCTACATTATGAATGTTGTATTTGATTACGTGTGAGTGTGTTGGAAGGTTCAGAAACAATACTTCCAAATAAAAAAAGCTTTGTATACATTTTTTGCTTCAATTCACTTGATTGTATTTTGAATTGTCAACTGGTGGTGAACTGGAGCATTGCCTTAAATTAATTAAGTGCTCACACTAATATACTGAAGGTGTCATAGGCAGCTTTATCACAACAGAAATGTTTCCTGAATACAATTTCAAACCAACATCTGGTACAAAACACATACTCTAGTGACAGGAATGTATTTGAGATCCTATGGTAATTCATGCATGAAACCAGAAGTTATGTGTTCGGCATGTGTTCTATTCTGCTGTGGAAAAATATGTCCTCTCTTACTAAGTACAATGTTCGCCTCTGAAATGTAGGAAAGTAGGATTATAGAATATAAATCAAGTAAAGTACCTCAAGTATATTTGGTTGTTTGCACAAATACACATTAATATATAAAAGTAAGAAAAGTATGAACATTGTCTTAACAAAGAATAAAAGATTAAAAAGAAAGGCTGCTCATGTGCATTAAAATAGGTTTATGTTTTGAAATCCTTAATAATGAAGGTCCTTTTTAGATTGTTTTAATATCAATAATGGAGATGGAAGTAGGTTGCTCCTTTGTTATTTCACTAAATATATTAAATACATTTGTTTGAGTAATGTTCAGATTAAAGATCACAGGTCACACCAGAGGATTTGACAGTATGATCTTTCCTCCCTCATCTCCCTTTTTCTCTCCCATTCAATTTATTATCATTTCAATATTTGTATGAGAGGGGGTGTGAGAGAGAGAGGGGGTGGAGGTGGTGATGATGATGATGCTGTTGGTGGCAGTGGACGGGGCTTGTCTCTTTTAGCTGGCTGGGTGTGTTGACGTGCATTTCTGCTCCATCTCCATGATTAAACCGGCAGCTCGGAGGGGAGTCGCAGCGGAGGGTGAAGCAGCAGCAGCAGCAGCAGCAGAAGAAGAAGAAGGAGCAGTCAGGGGGAATGAGAGCTGATCGAGTAGAGGCATCTTCACCATCATGCACCCGACTCCAACCACCAGCCGTCCATTTTACACGATTATATGAGCCCAGGAGCGCCAGTTTGTCTGTGTCCTGCAGACAGCCAGTGTGCAGAAGACCCTGCGATGACAAGATAGGCCAACGCCTCGCTGCAGCTACATACAGGGAATGAAAACGCTCCCAAGATGGTCCGCATCGCCAAGGCCCTGGGTTTGGTTATTCTGTGCGTCGCCGTGCTCATACTGTCGCTCATCAGCTATGTGTCTCTCCGAAAAGACAGCCTCTTTGCCTCCTCTAATTTCATTGGAGGCCCGAGGATTATGTTCCACGCAGGATTTAGGTGAGTAGTTTTTGTTGATGTGATGCAGATAATTATTGTTGGGGTAAAATATAAACACTGGGGCCTTGTGTTGACGATTCAACCTGAATGTGATGCACTTACAAGCGCACCCCACCACTTTCCCTTCAATTTGGTTAAAAATACCTTCTGTCAATCAGACAGTGAGCTGTCCGAGGTGCTGATGTTGTTTCCCTGGGCGATGCATGTCGTGATATACAGTGAAGTAAAGTACTTGCACTGTAAACGTTTGCATCATCAGCAGCTCCACATCCTGTGCTCAAAAGTACTTTTACTCAATTACTGTGCTCGGGGGTTATTTTGAGTCACATGCACTTCATTTGTATGTTTATTTATAGTATAATACTGTTTCTTTTTACCCTGCTACATTTATTGGACAGTTATAGTTCTGACTTGTTAGGTTGAAGACCATCACATTACCATAACAGATTACAGTGGTGGAAAGTAACGTGTATCATTTTGAGGTACTAGTACCAAAGTATTTCCATTCCATGTTTCCATTTATTTCACTTTTTACATAAATAAAACATATGGTATATAATTTGATACAATACAGTAGTAATCTTTCCTATGGTATTTAAAACATGTAAAATGGACTCGACTGACAAGTTACAACATTAAATTACTCTTGAATGGATTCGTTAGTTAAAATACATAATATTACTGTATGCAAAGTGGTGAAAGTTGGCTTTACCTCATCCAGCTAAAGCCCTTTCTAACTAAATGTGTAATACACAGTACATTTCTCTGAGTAAAATTGACTCAAATTGAAGAAAATATTACTCTAAAAATATTACATTTGGTCCCAACCTATATAGAGTAAAACGTACTCTTTGTTCAGAGTTGTATTTTTAGAGTTCATTTTACTCTATTATGTGCTTAGATTTGACTCTGCTTAATAGTTATTTACTCTATGTAATGTATATTAAAAACAACTCTCCTGCCATTTTACTCATAATAGAAGGTAATTTTACTCCCAATCGAACGTCATTTCACTCCAACTAGAAGGTAATTTTACTCCCAATAGAAGGTAATTTTACTCAGAATAGAATAAATGAACCATAATGATCTTTACAATAAAAAAGGTCAATAAACCAAAGTGCTTAAGGAACATGAGTGGGCGTGTGTGAAGCTGACCATTGAGCGGCCCGACCAAGCAAGGAGGCAGAGGCAGAGAGTTCAAATACAACCCGGTGTGGGCATTTATTCCTCTTTGTGGTACAGGATACACAGCCTCAATATGACTGTCTCACGTGAACACAGTCACCAGTCACCAGTCACCAGTCACCAGTCACCAGTCACCAGTCACCAGTCACCAGTCACCAGTCACCAGTCACCAGTCACCAGTCACCAGTCACCAGTCACCAGTCACCAGTCACCAGTCACCAGTCACCAGTCACCAGTCACCAGTCACCAGGACCTCACACACACACACACACTAACAGGAAAACAGAACCTAAATACACACAGGACTAATCAAACCAACAAGACACAGGTGAGGAGGGAGGAGAAAACACAGGGCACCAGGTGAACGCAATCACCAGCAACAGACAAGACGGGAGGGGGAACACTTTTCAAACTACAACAGGAAACAGAGACAGACAAACTAAAACATAGACAGATCGTGACAAATATATGCATAAATTACATATAATCACATGCTTCCTGTGCAATGTTTTAGTGTGGAACAAAGTAATATACTTCGCCAATAATGAAGCTATATAATCAGTAACGGAGACCGAGATCTATGGCCCAGAGATCACCTCCGTTACAGCGTGGTCATGGTTTAACTCCAATAGGATTGACTCTGCATTTTTGATCGCACTCTAGCTATGAGTAATAAATACACTCCAAAATGATTAAATATCACTATTTCAGAGCAAAATAGTAATTACTCTGGAAAAAATACTCACCAATATTTCCTGTGTACAAATGTTGGTATTATATTATCCATGACTTTAAGACAGAGTTTTAAATTAATCTAATCTGCCATTGTAAATGTCAGTACATTTTCAATAAATGGATTTTGGTGCAGATCCAAAGCAGACCTTTTCTAGAACAGTCCTACCAGACAAAGGAACATTTTACAACCAGGCTACCTAAAGTTATTGACGATAAAGATCAGATTAATAATTAACTGATGCATTTATCTGTTCAGATATATAGAATGTGTTTAGGTTTTCTGTTGCATTTGAAAGGATAAAGAAACATTTCATTTAAACATTTTCCAAGAACATGGAGACAACAAAGCGCGACCATATCCGACATTAATGCTTGTTTGTGGCTTTAGGAAAAACTCCTTATTTTCCCAGAATAACCACACCAGATCTGTGTGGATTTATTGTTCAAATACCTCAATAATAAGACAATATCAAACATAAACAAATGCGAGAGCAGTTCCCACATGGCACACAACACTGTCTCAGAATCACATTTTTTAAATCATTGTTGTTCACAGGTCTCAGTTTGCCATGATTTCCTGGACCCCTCTTTCATCCCTTAACTAACGCTCTGAACGAAGAGCTCCAGGGGAAATCGTCCAAATGGAAGTTCAACAAGACGGCTTTTTATCAGCAGAGGTGAGATATTGAAATTCTAGCTATTTACAACCCTACTTCTACTTATACCGTAGGCCTAGTTTATGTCACCCTGCAGGATACGTTTGTAAGGTTTCTCTGTAAAAGCTAAAGTCCAAGGTAATATTTTTGTATACTTCCCACTTTGATACTGTAACACTGCAGAGATTGGGATCAGAGTACTTCTTCTGCCACTGCCTGTCACATTTATTTTCTTTCTTCAGGAAAGATATCTTCAGCTACATTGACATTCCCACCAACTTCTCCCTCACAAAGAACAGTGTGCGTGTCGGCCAGTTGATGCACTTTGACTACTCCAGCCACAAGTACGTCTTCTCCATCAGCAACAACTTGAAGTCCCTGCTCCCAGACACCTCTCCAATCCGCAACAAGGCATTACAAGCATGTGCGCCGTGGGTGGGCAACAGCGGTATCCTAACAGGAAGCCACTGTGGCCCCGAGATCGACCAGGCCGACTTTGTCTTCCGCTGCAACTTCGCCCCCACAGAGATCTACTCCAAGGACGTGGGCAAAAAGACCAACCTGACCACCTTCAACCCCAGCATCCTGGAGAGGTACTACAATAACCTGCTGACCATTCAAGACAGGAATAATTTCTTCCTCAACCTGAAGAAGCTAGAGGGAGCCATCCTGTGGATCCCTGCCTTCTTCCTTCATACCTCAGCCACAGTTACCAGGACCCTGGTGGACTTCTTTGTGGAGCATAAGGGACAACTGAAAGTGGAACTGGCCTGGCCTGGAAACATCATGCATGATGTCAACAAGTAAGAGTGTAGATCTTCTTGATAGTTCATTTACTGTCAACCAACGGGACATTGCAGTGATTGTGTTTGTATACAATTTACCACTGCATATGTGAATTGGGATTATTGTGTGTCATAATGATGAAAGATTAATCCTTTTTATTATTCTTATTCTTTAACATGTAATTTCTGAGTGTGGATGACTTACTTGTCTTTTCTTCTTACAGATACTGGAAGACTAAAAACCTCTCCCCCAAACGTCTCAGCACTGGAATCCTAATGTACACGCTGGCCTCCGCCATGTGCGACGAGATCCATCTCTACGGCTTCTGGCCTTTTGGATGGGACCCCAACACAGGCAACGATCTGCCGTACCACTACTACGACAAGAAAGGGACCAAATTCACCACCAAGTGGCAGGAGACCCACCAGCTGCCCCACGAGTTCAAGCTGCTCTACAAGCTGCACAGGGAGGGTGTGATTAAACTCAGCGTGACGCACTGCTCGTAGATTTGCCATGGATGAGTCCAGAGACCAGATACAGCCGCTCAGCTCACTTCTGTTGTGAACCACAATGCATGATAAGTGTTAATGCAAATTTCGACACCCTCAATCGACAAACACACATTCACATCACGCTGTATAACTTCACATGACGATGTCACAGACTTATCACAGCGTTGTAACTCATTTATTGGTATATTGTTGTCTTCGGCTGGTGCCCCACGAGGACGAAAAACGGGTTGTATCCGCATATTTCTCTTGCGTATAGCCCTTTTTGCCACACGAGGCCGTAACTAAACGATAGAAACGGACCCCGCAAACGATAACGGGTCCAAAGGTGGATAGATCTGGGAACGGAGCGCTCTGGGGGGTCATACGGCTCCGTGTGATCGCCTCTATACGATCATTTTGTGATAATGATGACGCAATAGCCCTGCCTCCCCCCACCTCTGCTGCTCACCCCCCGCAAAAGTAACACTGCACACTGAATTCAGATTATTTATCTTTATCTCGATATGGACATAAACGCGAGTGAAGTCTAATCTGACAGGACGGAGACACGCAGCTCCTGCCGCTGTGATGCAGCGGGAGCAAAACACACACTTCAAGTCAGATCATCACCCTTAGCTATTTTAATTAGCCTACCTCTCAAACTACCTAAACTAGTTATAAATATGTTTATTTTTTACTGTCGGCCGGGTCACTCATTACTGGATTACTGGAGACAGACACTGACGCTGTCAGAAGAGAGGAAAAAGAGAGGACAGGCTCCGTGTATTTTATTATTATATATAGTCGTTATTCATTTGTTTTAAAGCTTAATAAATAACAAAGAAGACCTTTGACCGGCACTTTTATAATTTTGTCCGGAAGATTTAAACTTTACACACGTTGACCGGCCGAAAAACTCTGCCCGGTTCCCTCGGCCCCCCACCACGGAGAATAAACAGAAGGGCAACCATGCTTCTTCGCTGCTTTTTCTGGAGGAAGTTACAGCGCCACGTACAGGCTCGGCATATGTACTGCAGCTTTTTCCAGTGGTTGGATCTAAACGGAGCTGTCTCGTGTGAACAGACACTATCCGGTGTATAGAGTGGCGAAGTCCCTCCCCTTCCGGTGGACCTCCATGGGACCTTATTTCGGAAAAATTATGTATTGAAGTCAATGGAGAGAGAAAGATTATCTTTCGATCCCGTTTGAATTGTGCCACGAATTACACATATGATGTTTGTCAAAAAAAAATGTTTGTCGTAAAACTGTGAAGTAACACATTTGTTTGTGTGAAACGCTCAATGAACTACATCTCTGGTCAACAACACACGTCACCAAGATGGCCGTCACTACTGTCTTGTCAACAAAACGATTGACTGCCCTCACTATCACCACAATGAAACACGTCCTGAAGAAAGTCATGCAAAGCTGCCTGCCTGCCTTCCTTTGATTCTCTCTGAACTGCCTGGTTGTTTTAATGTTTAATGTCAACCATTTGTGCAGATAGCATGAAGTAGAAAAGATCGCTAGCGTTAGCGTTAGCATTTCTCCCCCGGGCTTAAATTGTGTATTATAGAATGACCACACCGGTGACAGTACTCTTCAAAGGGTTCACGAAATATGACTACTACTCTTACTGTTTAACATTTTGGGTTACTTCATGTTACTTCATGTTAAGGCTAATAAAAATGACAAGGCTGTAATGCTAACTAACGTGCTAGCTACTAGCTAGGTAGCTAACTTGATCAAGCCACTCCTGGTCCTTTCATCAGACGGGAAGCGAAAGAACGAGCAAGACCCATTGCTGGTATAATAACAACCTGGTACTAAGCACACAGGCATCTTGTGAAAGTTATCTTATCTTAGCCAGCGCCATATAGATAGATTCTATCTATATGGCGTTATCTTATCTTGGCTATCTCTATTTTAGTGGAGGAAAACAATTGTGACATCACTTACGCGACTCTGGGATTTGTAGTCTTTCTAGTTGCGTATTTTTCATAGTCTTATATTTCAACAGTTTTACGACAAACTGTGACTTTTTTGACATGGAAATGATTTTTTAAGATTGACAAACATCATATGTGTAATTCATGGCACAATTCAAACGGGATCGAAAGATACGTTTTCTCTCTCCATTGACTTCAATACATTATTTTTCCGAAATAAGGTCCCATGGACCGGAAGTAGATGGGCGTGACTTCGCCACTCTATATTGCGTGTGGACGGAAGCTTTTTTGCGATTGCGTTAATCCTATGCGTTTTGCCGTATGCGTTCCCGTGGGGCACCAGCCTTCAGCACTGCACTGTTAGGGCTTTTTTACGTCGCTCAGTTGCTTCCATTACTCTCCTTTGCATGGCTGCTGGCCGTGGTGACACAGCTTGAACTATTTTTAATGAGGTTTGCAACAAAAAGTCAAATCATACAGTTCAGTTTAACACAGTATTGATTTATTAATCGCCTTTTACAGCAGTATACTGATTCTTTACACTGAAATCACTGCCTAATCTCAGGGAAAGAGTTAGATCAGTGTATTTTTGTAATCAGATTAAATGCCTCAAGAGAGGTGCAGTTTCGGTTTGCAGGCTTTTTTCTCCCCATGAGGTGTCAGACAATCTGCACTGCTCTAGAAGATGGTATTTGTTTACAAGACTACACTCCATATACATATATATACACACACACACACACACACACACACACACACACACACACACACACACACACACACACACACACACACACACACACACACACACACACACACACACATATATATATACCACTTCAAATGTTGTTGTTCAATTTTTGTTTTGATTCTACTAATTTGTTTTAAAGTTATTTGACATTCCAACAATAAGCCATAAATTCATGGACAGTGCGTTGTCATTTGAATACAGAATTTTAGAAAGTGGTATTGACCTACATTAGGTTATGTGACATTTAAAAATATCTTCCAACAAGACTACCATTAGCAAGTCCACAGCCATACTAGCGGCAACATTTGAGTCATTGAACTTCCAAAAAAGTAAATACCCAAAATGGTGTTTACCAACACAGCGTTTTCATACATTTATTTGAGTTTGGCACCAATTGAGCAAGGACCATTCTAGAGGTTATTTTATGATATTTAAAATATATCTTAAAGGCAGTATGTTGGGTTACAGATCACAGGGTATTTATTTTTCTGTCAATTACAATTGTAGTTCTATGAAGCGAATGTGTCAATGCATGAGAGTCACAAAGTGGGGCTAAGGTTGCTCCAGCTCTAATTCATTTCTCAGTTTGTCCTAATTAACTAATAGCTAGTTTAAAAACTCAGGAAGAAGGCCAAAAAAAGTAGCCCCCCATAAAACTAATTTTGTTTTGCTTTTTACACGTTTTTTTGTACAATTTAAACAAACGAGGTCTATGTATCTTTTAAAACCCAATATCTTTGCTAATAAATACTTTTAAATGTTTTAGGGGGTCAAAAAACTGACAATCCTGTGTAAACGTTGGTATGACTATTGTCATATGCATTGCCTACATACAAGACAACATAATGCAGAAATAAGTATGTTTTTAAGTAAGGCTAGTAATATTAATGCAGTTTAGCACTGCAGATTGTCAAATGTCCGATCATGCTAATCTAGCATGTTTTTCGGTCCTTAAGTCTGACTTTCCTGGCATATCGTTTTGTAATTTGAGGTATTTGATAAAGTTTACATTTTAACACAGTTTAGATGTGTCAAATTCAATACTATATTTTTTACTCCTTAATTCAAACTGATGTTTGTTAGCAAGGTTCAGTTGAAGTTAGCCTGCACCTGCAGTTAAGTGTCAGCGTATATAGAAGTAGTATCTTATATTAATACGTAAGACAACACATACATACTTGTTTGAAGCTCATGTGTTTGAAATGATCAAAAAGGCTAAGTTTGAATTTACGAACAGCTGCAACCAGCTCCAGAAAACAAAGCTGTTGAATAATTGAAAAATGGAGACACAATTTTACAATTCTTACCAATGCCAGAACATGGGCAGAACATTTAAAGTTAATCCAGAGGGTACCAGACCATCTTGTGACCTAAATTGCGGCGCTAGCGTGGCAATTATAAATACAAAAATAAATCATTTTGGACAGTTTTTTAAAAATAACAACAAGGGAACTTAAAGTTTACCACTATTCCAAATATATCTATATATCAAGAGGAAAATACACTATTTGTTACATATCTTTAGTTGGAGGGGGGTTAATCATCCATCATGTACCATATCATTCCAATATTTGTGACATAAAACAAGGAATTTAATGAATGTTATATGACTTAAGTGCATCTCGTATAAAGAGCATGATCCATTTAAATGACATTGCATGTGAGGCACCTTCAAATCTTTTAGGCTACTTTTATACAACCTTTTTGAAGATTGTTTTGAGGGTAAAAATGTAGTTATTTGCTATTGTTTGTACTCCTGACGGTGTATTCCTCAAGGATAACACCAGTGTCTTTGTATAAGATACTTCCGAAGGCTAAAGAAAGAACCCTAATATATTTTACATGGGACCAAAACCTATAGATAAACTTAAAAATGAACAAGCTTTATTTTTTGTAACTCTAGATACTCTTGGGTTCTCAAAAACAGTGTTCCCAGTCATGCTTCACTGATGCAGACATGGGGGGTGGGGTGGGGTTTAAAGCTGGCCACATGACTCGTCTCATGACTCTACAATGTGGTCCTGGTTGCAAACCCTGGCTGAGACTGAGGTTTAGAACATCGAGCTACGCAGTCATTCATACTTCCAGATGTGTGCTTTTGTGCTCATTTAGATATAGTATGTGAGGCATTTGCTTGGCATCCTGTCATACACATAGAGTTCCTTTTGCTGTCTCATTTTGGCAAGTAAAACATTTCAGATGACCTTTGTGTCTCGTCTCCGAATAACAGTGCAGTAACAAACATGAAACCACATATCGGATGATAATGTTTGAACTTTAGCTGAATTTTATTGATGTCATTTATGTCTACATTAAAGGATATTTTCTGTAGACCCTTCATAAGAAATGTTTACACCAAAGACGAAGTGTTCAAAGAGGAAATGTTTGGCTGGATAAGGATTGATTTGGGATTAAGGAAGCCGAATGACAATTAACAACAAGTATTATTGTAACAGAAATAGAGTTTCCTTTTTATGGTGTTGAATTTGATGTTGAATATCATTTTTTGTGGCACAACAATGATTTCAAACTTTTTGTTTCTTGGCTTCAGCCAAAGTAATGTGGTGGAATTTATTTGTGACTCCATGAATGTCCTAGACAGATTTGTTTGAAAAATCCACTGACATGAATGCGGGACATTTTTAAGTTTCTCTCTTTATTTAATTAAAATCAATGTGTAGAATGTGTGTAAACAATAACAATGCTAACAAAGTCTGCGAGGATTGTATTTCCAGTCAGATTAGCAGTTATCTTTGTGTGCATTACATTTAAACGACAAGACAGTGACATGTACATAAACATAAAATGTCTTTATTCCAAACGCAGCACTATACAGGTTTTCGTTCCAACAACCCTTTAACATTCTTGTACTTGTGTTTGATCTGCATGGCAACTATGTTCCATAATGCATAAAAAAGCTTGGCTGCTTATGTACATGTCGTATACAATTCATAAATCATATAAATGACTTAGCTATCTTGGTTGTTATAACAAAAACAATCATCCATATAAGAAATGTAACCATGTCTTAAATGTTTTTGGATTATACTCCATGATAAATATACGTTATGTGCCTGCATATTCTTCCATCAATGCCTCAATGTGTCAAATACATTTTTTTTTTCTCTCTGATATGACCCATTTTAATACAATAATTGACTGTTTTTCCCCTGGTGTCTCTAAAACATCCCAGTTGTATAACAATACCTGTATATTCTTACTATATACAGTTTCTAGGGTCTTGTACTCCCCTTTCTTACAGACTGTGAATAAACAACATCACACATCAATTTTTAAGAGGGGAATTCGCATTGTCACAACAATATTGGGCCCACATTTTCTTTAATTAAAATGTTAAGATCTTAAAAGACCCGGCCTCACCTATCAGGCACCCAAGTTAGGAAACAGCAGCATTTTGAAAATATTGTTATTTGGGGCAAACGTGAGAAGAGTGTCTACTGGTGGTAACATCAGCAGGCACACGTCCTCCTCACAGGAGCCTCCTCCACCTCATGGCTGTTGATGGGGCTGCCGTTGGGTTCAGAGCTGGGGCCTCCGGGAGTGCTCTGCTCCATCCTCTTCATCACCAGATCCAGCAGCGTGGTCACTGCCTGGTCAACATCATCACCTGTCATTGCACTCGTCTCAAAATAGGGGATGCTGACGAGAACGGAGAGAGAGATTAATGTGCCAGTTTTACCCAGAGAGGATTTTAGTGTGTTGCTGCTGCTGACTGAGTTGAGTAGTTCAAGTTGAGTAGTTCAAACTAAAAAGTATTCTCAATGTACTTAATGGGGCAAATAAGTAATTGGCCTGGAACAAAGAAAATAGTATCCCAAACTTCTGAAAAGGCCTTTAATTTATACAACTTGATGGATTTCATTTAAAAGCACCTCAACTTGTTAAAATATCTTTCAATGTAGATTTTACATTACTATACATTTTGTATCACTACTTTTTCTTGTTTTCTAAGTATCCATTTTCTTTGTACGTATGATTATTGATATTTAATAAATAGGGAGGTATCTTCTCAAGCCATTTTTGGCTTTTAACCTTTCCTATACAATGTTCTAAGATTGATTTTTCCTACTATCTACCGTTTTCTATAAACTCATGATCCTCAAACTTGTATCTTATGACCCATTGCTGGGGCCCTGACCCAAACACTGAGAAACTACTGTGCTCAATAAAATTACAAAACCCTAGGAGGAAGATCCATGTTAAAAAGAGCTCACTGCCACCATCCTGTGGTTTACTGGTGAGAGAAGTAACATGAGGGGGCTGCAGCACCCCCATCTGCGAGGCTCCACTAGCACCCCCATCTGCGAGGCTCCACTAGCACCCCACCCCCCCCAGCGCGTCACAGTTTAGCCGCTGAGAGAGTGTGTGAGTGTGAGGAGCTCCACGGATTGGTCCATTAGGACCAATGGGTCCATTTGGGTATGGGCACGTCACTGTACCCAGGAAGAAAGCAATGGAAAAAGAGAAATCTCCAATGAGGCGTTCTGGGGCAGCATAGACAGGTATTTTCTGTGTTAGAGTTTTACTCGCTACAGGGTGTACTTTGAGGGTTTGTGACTTTGCAGACCATTTACATGCATAAAAACCTTCATAACACACAAGGGGACGGGTAATAACCGGAAAAGCATGACATGGGACCTTTAATTCATCCCTTATGAAGACATAACTATATTTTTTTAGGGGAGTAAGTGTGAAGGAAATAATGAGTATAAAGTGGCTCAAAATCTATCTTTTCTTTGAAATAATATATGTTTTTTCTCCAATGGAGTCAGAATCTTATTCTTTTGTGCTTTTAAACATAATCACCAAAGCAAATGTAGACAGAAAGTATTACTATATATTTATACTTTACAGAACCCCACCACAGCCCTTAAAATGTTCTGTAACTAAAACACTATAGTGCTGTTTGCAAAGCCTCACCCGTATCTGTCTGCCAGGTCTCTGGCCTGTCTTCCGTGAACGTCCCTCACATCCCGGAGGTCTGCCTTAGTGCCCACCAACACGATGTCTGGACTATCACAGTACGCGTTGGCCTGTAGCTGACCTGAACCAACACAGAGGAAGTCCTTTTACACCCATGTAATGCAAATAGACACACATGAGCTTCAAACTCTCTTAGTTGACTTTCTCCACTCTCTAAACTCTGTGGCAACAACAGAGAGAACATTGATCCAAAAGAGTATTTATCTGAAGCAAAGCAGTGATGCTGAGATGACACATACTCATCCAGTTCCTGACGTTTAGGAAACTTTGCTGACTGGTCAAGTCGAACATCAGCAGGAAGCCCATGGCGTCCCTGAAGAAAGCTGTGGTGAGGCTGCGGAACCTGGAAAAAGATCAGTTTCTCAGTATGAAGCTACCATGTGGAGATTTGATCCATCGTTAGGTCAAGATAGAAATACCTCACCATCTGTTGGAGGGTTTGTCATGACATTTTTCTACAGACATTCATGGAGGGTGAATCCTACTAATTTTGGTGGTACCCTGGCTTCTCTAGCGCCACCAGCAGGTTGACACGTTCAGTTTATTCCGAAATTGAAACCACATCTATCATATAGCAAATTAGATACATCCTACTGACTTTGGCGACCCCACAACTTTTCCTTTGAAGTTTGACAGCCCAATGGGGTTGAGATTTCTAGTTTTTAAGTCAAATGTCTTAACAGCTTTTTTACTTCAGGCTAGTGATTCAGTCTCAGTCTCAATGTAAAGCCAAGCAGTCCTTTCTATAAGACTCTGCTATATCTATAACATATGTTGTTTGTGTTCCTAGAAGCACTGCTGTGTGTGTCTCCCTCTCTCTTTCTGTTAACTCAGGCTTATTGAAACTTGACCATCAGCAGCCCTGGCAAACTCTCTGTCTTCTTGGTGCCTTTTTACAATTAATGAAACATTTTTTTACGATGTTGTTTTATTATGTATTGCCTATCTGTCTGTTCCAGTAAACGTTTTGGGGGGGTTTCTCTTTATTCAAAGCAAGGGTTGAAAAGGAAGAGGCTGTTGTATCTTTTACAGATGGAGAAACTGTATAACATTTGGCTATTTTATTAAATATGAACAAAAGAGTTTGAGGGTCAATTAGGCTCTAATCTAAAGGCAGACACATTTTCAGCATGCAAACATGTTCTAGAAACCCAAAATGTAAGTGTCACCATGCAAATGTCCATCATGTCCAATACTTTGTTATCCAATACCAGCTAAACTAATGACATGCCCCTCAGCCTCAACTGCAGTTTGTGTTAAGTTGGATAATGTTTGAATGCTAATATGCTAAACTGAACTATGTTAGTATGTAGTCCAAGGTCCACACTCACAGAGCTGATAGCATAGCATTAGACTGTTTTTGTGATTATAGCATTTTTCAAATAATTCTGAAGGTATAAGGTCCTTGCTTTCAATCCATTTAAATGAACACGTCCTAATGTCAAATATATAGTACACATCAAGGTTAGGTTTACCTCTCTTGTCCCGCCGTGTCCCAAAGCTGAATGTGGACTTTGAAGTTCCTCTCAGATGTCCCATCAGCACCTTTCCCAGTGTACATCTGAACCAAAGCAGGGAGAAAATCTTTTGACTCAGTTACATATTATTTTATATGAAGAAACATGCTTGTATGCATCACTTATAGGCATCACTCACCACTCTCTTTTCCCTGAAGTCAATGCCCACTGTGGTGGTGAACTTGCGGTTGAACTTCTGGTCGGTGTACCTGTAGAGGAAGGTGGTCTTCCCCACCCCTGAGTCCCCGAGTGCCAGCAGCTTGATCAGATAGTCATAGTCCCAGTCAGCCATTGTGCAGCTGAGTGCCTAACCTGCCACAGAAGTGAACTCACAGTACACTGCTATAATGGTTTGATGGATCATGTAACATAAGAGGTGAGAGAAAACTGGCATAAGTCAATATTTCCAGGTTGAGTAAACTAGAACAGGAAGGTGAAATAGTTCCACTTAAACTGCATTTTTCAGTCCGAGGGTTCAGGACATCACACAGGATTAAAGCAAGACGTCATACCTCCACACTCATTAGGCTCTGATCAGAGAGGGGTGAGCACATGACCAGTGCTGGCTTCCACATGAGCAGTCAAATGTTTTGCCAGTTTTCTCAGACTTTGCTTGGTAAAAAAACAGGGGCCTGTTTAGCAGATAGAACTCCTTTGATTGACTTTAAGAGCCACAGTCAGACTGCTAAACGGTGCGTGACACCACTGAAGTCACCGCAATGCTTTGGTTACACTTTCAGCTCAGAGGCAGAGGAAAATAGCATTTATTTCCTTCAGTTTATTCAACATTTCAATTTGCGAAGGAGCATTCAGAAAATATATAGGGTTAACTCAGATTTCAACACCACAGTAGTGAAAATGGATACTATGACATTTGGAGTTATTTCCCATGTATTGTATTATTTGAATCAGATGAGTGAGGAGAGGCTGAGTAATCAACACCATAAACTGCAGAAACAACAGTCCCTGTCTTTATCTGACAGAACCTTATCAAAACGATTTTCCTCAAATACCCATTGAGACAAATAAAGCTACCTTAAAATGACAAAAAAGTAATATACCTTACCAGTCTATCTGTAGGTAGTGCCAATGCCCATTCAGAAATCACTCAACTCGTCCAGACAGAATACAATATCCACTATCATGATGCTATGGCACATCCTGAACCTTTCCCCCTTCTTACATGTGATCCAGGGAGGAGTCTCAGACCAGCAGGACCTCAGCGAGGCTGCACTCACAGACCTTGTGTTTTCTGGTATTTCTCATGAAAGGGGGAAAAAAGGGCTCTTTGAAAACTTGATGTGGACGATATAAGCCTCTGTGGATTTCAGCGGAAATCGTCCAACCAAGGAACGAGGGCCCCCCACTTCCAGAGGCTAAGCCATCCCTAAGTAATCCTGCTTCTATATACAATGGGAAAATACAAAAACAAGACTTCATTTGGGTGCCCTTATCATTTTGAAAAGGACCTTTATCCATGTTTGCAGATTGTCACATAAGATTACTTTAGGTAAAATTAGATTGCAAACATTATGTGTAAGGCAGCAACAAATCAAGCAGTTTTTAAACGTTTTATAAACAATAAATGTCTGCATATTAACACTTAAATACAGGAGTGGAAAGAAAAAGAGAAACCCCTTAATCATAAACTGTCAGAAATGTTTATCAAATTCAACAGTGAAGCATTATGTATTGACTTCATAAGTCTGTAGTTTCTTATATGCCATTAATAGACAAAATCAATGACGCATTAATTAACTGTGTAATGATATGCTGTTGTGGGTCTTACTGTGTATTATTTTTGCTATGATATTTTGACTTAAAGAAATACTGTACGTAATTTTGATATATTATCATTAATGCGTCTGAAATTATTGTCATGAAAACTTGTGTTTAGTTTTAATTTACAGTGGTATTACTTTTGAACAAATGGAAATATATTTTTTAATAGAACATGACAAAATAGATCACAAGAGATGACTGTCATAAGTTACCTTACGCAGAAGTAACTAGTCCCTCTCTAACTGGGTTTGAAATACTTGAACAGATTGTTTGCCTGACTGCCTTTGCCTGCAGCCTTTTTGTCTTTGGTCGTCAGGCTTCTTCCTGGTTTTTTGGATGAGGGCGTCTTCAACACCGGCTTCTTTTGCTTCCATTCAGACATCAACTCGCTCTGAACATCCGGCGGAAGCTCTGAAAACACCTTAGGGTCCACATTTCCTGGGAAATCGCAGTCAGAAGACCGGGCAAATGACGCTCTCCCTTCTTCCATGACGTTCTCTACTGTGCCCGCAGGCCTCTGGTGATTCACGGTGGTTGGCCTATCAGATGAACCTAATTTGTTCAAAGCCTCTTTTATGTCTTTTTGCGAGTCAGTAAACGACTCATGTGTTGTGCAGGGGGGATCAACAAGAGCTGATGAGTTCACTGAAGTACCTGGGTGAGAGTTTGTGTAGGCAGGGGATAACAGCTCCTTCTGGATTTCCACAGGGAGAAGCCTGAACACTTCAGGGTCAAAATGTGGGGGCAATTGATGTGTCCCTGGTACATCTAGTTCTTCACTGTGTGACATCGCTGTGCTGCAGGATACTCTCTGAGTGTCTTCTACAGCAACAACAGGGCTCTGTTTTATTTTAGACCCGTGTAATGCTGCCTCAGAGCTACGAGACCTTTTAGTGGTTACTGTCTTTTTTGAGATAGGTTGAGTAATCACGCTGTGTGTGCTAACCGGATGATCCAAGCAGTGACTACCCCCGTTCTGAGAGGAGGAATCCTAATGGAGAATCAAAAAAGAAGAGCTGATTTATTTCAGGAATTTCAAAGTACTGACACACAATTTCTGAGAAGAGGAAATCCTGTAAGAATCATGTACCAGCACAGTGTGAAATGTAAGAAGATCTTTTTAGTACCACATAAATGCAGTTTATTACCTGCATACCGCTTAAAGTATGAATGTGTGTTGGAAACCAGTAGGGAGGGCCTGGAATGTTTATATCAAAAAAGGTAAGGAAGGAATAAATCCCGAATTCAATGCTTTCTAGAAAAGGTTTTAAGTCCTCCAGATACCATAATGGAAATTATCTTATCAGTATTTACAAGAAAGATAATACAGGATTATTCACTGTGCTACCTGGCTTTGTGATGAGCAGATTTGTTGTGTTTTTCCGGGTGACGTGCTTTGTGTGAAGAAGGATGTTATCGAGCCCTTTCCGCTGACGGCAGCCCCCTTGGTCTGCAGGTTGCTGAAGCAAACGTTAAGTAGGGTGAGGTGGAAGGCGGCGCTGCTGTCCACCATCTTGTGGAAGAGCTTCATGGCCAGAGGGAGCAGCAGGACCACAGCATCTTCACTGCTCTCTGTAGAAACATTACAGACAAAATACTTATATTCAGGTTTTTGAAATAAGTCTGCATGTCTGTTGTCATATTTTAATGATGTCATCTCCCTAAAATAACAAAAGAAAATCGTTTTTTGTGGTTATATAAGTGTAATGTAGTCCCTTAATTGTCTAGTGGGAACAAAGCATTTTTTGTAAGTTTTTGTGTTTCTCTTATGTTCTTACGACACTATAATGATTGGCTGTCAATAAGAAAATATGAAGACCATCTATTTATATATTTTTTTATTTTGAGAAAGGGGCAGGTAATATTAATTGATTTTCTTCTCCCTGCTTCTTTGCGAGTTTGGTGTGTTTACAGAGACATGCTAAGTAAATAATTGTTATACATTGAGTTTGTGCATACCATGAACGGAACAAAAAAAATAAAAATGAAATGAAGAATAATGAAATGGTGTTGTTACCAGGCTGCTAAACTACCCCTGAAATACAGGTATGTGTGTTTCTCTTTGTGTACATTAAGAGGGAGAGCAGTGTTTTGACTGCAGTTAAAATCTGTTTTTTTAAAGGCTCTACCCCAACCAATTGATAGGAATGTGCAAAAATACCAGCTTTAAACAGAATTAATAGAAATACAAAAAATATTGATCAAATATTGATTTCGATTTTGAATGTCAATGTGATGAATGAGACTTTAAACTATTCCATATAGCCATACTGCTTTATATGCTTTCAGGTATTTTTAAAGTGAGAGGAGGCCCTAATAAAGTTTCTCCATGTGCCATCCTGAGCTCTTGCAGTCCTTCATGGAGCTGGAGCTTACCGGAGGGGATCTTCTGTCCAACGTGGTTTGGGATCGGACACTGCCGACTCTCCCGGTTGAACCACTTATTAGTGGCAGAGTATTTACGGATGGTCAGCCTGAAGGTTTGAGGCTGCCTGCCATCATTCCGCATCCTAGTTTTGAAAAAGATGATAAAAGTTTAGATTCAATGGCCTTGAGCAAATAATTAAAAAAATGACAAGTATCTCACCTCTCCACTAGATTGCTCAGGAGTTCTTGAGTCTTTTCCAAAACTTCTTTAGTTGATGATATCTTCTTGAAAGAGTCCTCATCACTAAGAGACTGAAACAGGAAAATGATACTCATTAAGGTAAACTAAGGTGAAACATTTATATATAAATGTTTCACCTTAGTTTACCTTAATGAGTAATTAGTTATATATATATATATATTTTTTTTTTCGGATTTCCAGGCCTACCTGAGGGGCCCCAGTAGGGGTGACAGGTGACTCATCTACTCCTAGGGCCAGATTCTTTAAGCGCTGAGCGCTGGGAGCTCCAAACTCTCTCGCCAAATCATTCAATGGGAAGAGCTGAAGGTCTTTCACGCTGGCCAATCCCAGGGCTTGAAGTCTCTTAGAAGTTTGATAACCCACCCCTAAAAAATATGTATAGTTTTAGTCCAAATGCAACCAATTAAAATCCTCTAAAATAAATTCACGCATACATCTTGGGCCTTTCAGAAATGTAATCTTAAACAATAGCATCTCTAACGGTTCTATTTTACATTTTCATCTCTTAAATGATCTACAAGAATTGCAAAAATCTTAGTTATCCTTTTTTTATCTATCAAATTATATTCACTATATGGAAACTTTTAATAGCTTTTATTATTGGCTTGCTTTTCTTTCTATTGGTATATTTCTGTGTTGTTTTTCTCTATTTGATTTTTTGTAGTTTACTTGATGTCAGTGAACATGATGGTTGCCCCTGAATAATATCTTAAATATATATAAAAGGTTAAATATAGATGTATTGATGAGTAATTCGTTATATCTTTCACAGGCTCCGCCCTCTACTGGACTCTATGGGTACTACCTTATCATGCAAGCATTCACCTACTGAGATTTCTATAGACGTAGCCGGCCCCGGGGCGGGCCTACCTGAATGCGTGCGCATCTCACTTCCGTATAAAAGGAGGCCTCGCCTCCTGACCACCATCCTTTACTCTTCAGCGAGCGGAGGTGATAGCCTAGCACTGAGTCCGAGACGTACAATTGGGAGAAAGGAAGTAGAAAGTATTTTTGTGAAAATGGAGCCACTCCTGGAGCATCGTAGTTGCCCGTCGTGCCCTGGACTGATTGCGGGAGCAGACCCGCATCGTCAATGCTTCCAGTGCCTGGGGCAGGGTCATGCCGAGCAGGGAGCGGGCCAGACACCGGCCTGTGTTTCCTGCTGTTCGATCCCGATGCTGAACCGCCGGCATCGTGCGGAGCACTTCTTAAGGAAGTTCGGCCCGCAGGTGCGCGGACAGGAAGAGGATGTGGACCTCGAGGTGGTGGACATGGACGACATGGACGACATGGAGGACGTGCCGTTCAAATTCGTCCTTCCGAGGGACCGAGTGGTCGACTTCGCGGAGGAGGATGACGACATCTCCTTGTCCGACACCCCCGGTTCTGACAGCCAGGAGGGCCCAGCACTCAGGTCTGCGCGACTGGACTTCCCAGCGGTGATGACCCAGGCAGCGGAGCATGTAGGCTTACCGCTCCCCCCACCGCTGCCACCGAGGCCTGTAAGCCACCTTAGGCAGGGGTTTTACGCTCCGGTGCTTCCGGCGCAGCCGGCTTTCGTCTCGACCCCGTTGCCAGACATCTGGCAGTGTGTGGAGGCGACATGGCGGCGTCCATTGAAGACGAAGGCCGCCATAGCATCTATGTCGGGCATTGTCAGGGTGCAGGGCCGATCAGACACGGTGTGTTCTGGCGTGCCCCCCCTCGACGAGAGCCTGGCGGCCCATCTGTTGCCACGATCAGCTGGTTGGGCGGAGGGGAAGAAACCTCTGCCCCCGCTGCCGCGGGACCGGGAAGCCTTGGAATATTTAGATAAAATGTTCAGGCTCGGTTCACAGATGGCGGCTGCGGCCAATAATCTGGGTGTGTTGGGCGTCTCCTTGATTACTCCTCGAGCAGACGCCCCCGCTCTCCCGTCTCAGGACAGGGATGATTATCCGGACCGCTGCATAGGTCAGATGAATAATCTGATCCATGGAGTGGCCACCGCAGCCGGGCGGGTGATGTCCTTAGCCACAGTGGCGTCTCGTCATGTGTGGCTGGGACTCACCGCACTGCCCAAAAAAGATCGAGCAGATCTCCTTGGAGCCCCCGTTTCCACGGAAGGGCTCTTTGGGTCTATAGCCTCGGTCACCCAGCGTTTCAGCCGTCTGGAGGAGGAGAGGCTGCAGTTTAGCCGCATGTTGCCGCTGGCTTCTCCCCAGGTGTCACAGCGTCCTCCGCGGGCGGCGGAGCGCAGCGCAACGGTGAGACGGAGGGAGAGGCGCCGGTACGAAGGTCCCGTGTCGGTAGCACCCTCCGCTTCTTCAACCAACCCCGTGGGGCCAGCGTACCGGCACTCACAGGGGCGGGCTGCCCGGCCACGGCAGTCTCAGCAGCAGCAGAGAACCACCGGGTGGGGAGCTCCGCCAACACGCAGCTGACTGGCGGAGGGAGGAAGCGTCTCAACGGGTCTCTCCACCCAGGACGCTAGGGTGAATCCCACCTCCTTCCTGTTCAATGCCCAGGTCCCTGTTATTAGAAAAACTAATAAAGAAAGAGGTGATCTGTATCCAAGTCTGAGTGTCATTTGTTTTCACAATCCTGCACTCACACACATTGTTGACTGTACATATTCCCCACTCGCTACCCCGGTTGTTGCTCCTGTAAAGGAGATAGCTAGTGGGCATGCGCAGATGAGAGAGATAAACCGCAGGAAGTGCTATAGTAGCGCTATGCGGGTGCAGGGGCTTGTTAGTCGGCGCTTTATGGTTAGGGAACACACTACGCCTAGAATAAGGGCTCCAATTAATACAGTTTACCGTAGTGGTAAGAGCTGCATTATGGCGGAGCCCCCGCTCTCTCAGGAGCCCATGGTGTGTTCAGGGACCTCAGGTGAACACATTACGTCAATAAAAACTCTGGTTAATGCTGGTTACCATGGTAATGAGAACAGCGTTAGGGTGGAGCGCACGCTCACACAAGAGCGCGCAACGGTGTGTTCAGGGACCTCAATAAATAATCGGTCCTTTCTGTGTCGACCCTCCATGGGCAAATCTTCCTTTCACGGGGGATTTTGCGGCGGAACGGGTCACCAGAGAGTATCACAGCCTTATAGCTGCGGCCCCACAGCTAAGGGCTTGTCCATTAACTCAATATTATGGGGAATGGAAACTCAGCTGTGTACTGTCAGAGTGGATGGACAGGACGCTGAAACGGGGTTATTCACTCCAGTTTTGCAGCGTCCCACCTCCATTCAGAGGCATGCGAGAGGTAATTCTGTCATCCCAGGAGGAGATGGGTTTCCTCTCAACAGAGATTCAGGCTTTGGTGCAGAAACAGGCAGTGTCTGTGGTGCATCCTCAGCAAAAAGAAAGGGTTTTTTATTCCATGTACTTCCTGGTTTCCAAGAAGACAGGAGAATTCAGACCTATTCTAGATTTGCGCAGCCTGAATCTTCACATTTGCCGCAGGAAATTTCGCATGTTAACTATCAAACAGTTAATGGGGCTAGTGCAGCCGGGCGATTGGTTCACCACCATCGACCTGAAAGACGCATACTTTCATGTGGAGATTGTGCCAGAGCACAGGAAGTATCTGCGTTTTGCCTTTCAAGGGATAGCCTACGAGTACAACAGACTCCCGTTCGGCTACTCCCTATCCCCACGCACATTCAGCAAATGTGTGGCCACAGCGCTTCAACCGCTGCGCGCCCAGGGCATGAGAGTTTTCTTTTACATAGACGACCTCATAGTCATGGCTGGGTCCCGGGAACAGGCAATGTTTTGCACAGCACAATTGATAACACACCTAACCAAATTAGGCTTTGCGATCAATTGGGAAAAGAGCACCCCCATACCTCGCCAACAGGCGTTGTATTTGGGAGTGGTGCTCGATGCAGACGCGCTGCGTGCCACCCTGTCAGAGAGCAGGCGTGCGTCCCTTCTCCGGGCGGTGCACAGGCTGCGACAGGGGGCAACAGTGACAGCTTTAACTGTCATGCAGACTCTGGGTCTCATGGCGGCTGCTCACGTTGTGGTCCCGTTGGGGTTACTGCATATGCGCCGCCTGCAGAGGTTGTTTTCCAGTCTGCGTTTGGATCCCAAGAGGCACAAACGGCGGCTGGTGACCATCCCCCCCTCAGTGGAGGGCAACCTCCGGTTCTGGGGGTCTCCCGGGCGCCTCCGGAGGGGGTCTCCACTGGGGCGGGTAACCTCCTACATCATAGTGTTCACGGACGCATCCAGAACAGGATGGGGAGGGACCTGCCTGAAGAGGGCTATAGGTGGGCGCTGGTCTCTAACAGAAACACGACACAGCAACCTCCTAGAACTACGGGCGGTAGTGTTAGTCCTCCAGCATTTCATGCCCCTAATTCAAGGGAGACATGTATTGGTCAGGAGCGACAACAGCACCACAGTGGCTTATATCAACAGGCAGGGCGGAGTCCGCTCCGCCGCCTTGTTGGCCACAGCGGAGAGGCTGTGGTTATGGGCTTCAGAGGTGGTATTTTCTCTGAGAGCCCTCCATATCTCGGGACTGGAGAACAGGAGGGCCGACCTCATGTCGAGAGGCGGCCCCCTGCCAGGCGAATGGACGCTTCACCCGGAGGTGGTGAAGCAGATCTGGGCCCAGTTCGGGAGAGCGGAAGTGGATCTGTTCGCCAGCCGGCGCAACAGCCACTGTGCCCTGTGGTTTTCCATGGCCCTGAGCGACGACCCGCCTTTGGGGGTGGACGCGTTTGCACACGAGCCATGGCCAAGGAAGCTGCTATACGCCTTTCCACCGCTGCGTCTCATTCTCCCACTCCTGGGGAGAGTGAGGCGAGAACGTCTGGCAGTCATTCTGGTGGCACCGGATCGCGTCGGGGCTCCGTGGTACTCAGAAATGACACAGATGAAGGTGGGCCAGCCCTGGGCGATCCCCCAGTTCTGGGGGGCGATGTCTCAAGAGGCAGGTGCAATCGGGGCGTTACCCACTCTGGGCCGTCCTCTTCAGGCTTGACTCCTGAGAGGGACAGGCTGAGGCAGGGTGGATTGTCTGACAGCGTTATTCAGTCTATCCAGGCAGCTAGAGCAGAATCCACCACAGCCTGTTACAGGCCAAAGTGGCTGAGATTCCAGCATTGGTGTGAGGAGCGGGGAATAGAGCCCCTATCTTGTGAGTTGGGCTCTATTTTATCCTTCTTACAGTTACTGGTGGACAGAGGGCTTGCTCATTCCACAGTGAAGGTGTATGCAGCAGCCATCTCGTCCTGTCATGAGGGATTCAACGGCAGGTCAGCCTTCTCTCATCCACTGATGTTGCGGTTTTTACAGGGGGTCAGGAGGCTGCGCACGGTGGTGTACGCCTCCGCCCCACAGTGGGACCTGCCGCTGGTGCTCGAGGCTTTGGTCACGGAGCCTTTTGAGCCTCTTGAGCTCTCCTCCCTGAAAGCACTGTTGTGGAAGACAGCGTTGCTACTTGCCTTAACGTCAGCCAAAAGAGTGTCCGAGTTAACCGCTCTGTCGGTGCACCCGAGCTGTTTACTGATTCGGGGTGACCAGAGTGGGGCGGCACTCAGACCGAACCCCTCCTTTGTGCCCAAGAGCCTAAGGAGTGAGTTCAGGTCGAGGGCTATTCAGTTGGGGGGTTTTAGTCTTCCACCCCATGGTGGGGCTAGAGAAGCTAAATTACACCTCTGCCCGGTGCGCACATTAGCATATTATGTAGAGCGCACAGCTACCCTGAGACGCACTGAACAGCTGTTTGTGTGCTTCGGGGGCGGGGTGACTGGAAAAGCTCTGTCCAAGAAACGCCTGGCAGGCTGGCTTTGCGAAGCCATTGCACACGCCTACAAGCAGGCAAGGAGAGCCTGTCCCATGGGGGTCCGTGCGCACTCCACACGAGCTGTGGCTGCATCAACAGCCTTATTCAGCGGTCTGAGTGTGGAGGATATATGCACGGCGGTGTCTTGGTCAACGCCAGGCCCCTTCATAAAGTTTTATCTCTTGGATATGTCTGGCTCTTTCTCAACGTCTGTGCTTGCTGGGGCAACACAGGACTGGTGAGGAGGGGGGGGCTGTGGGTCAGTGGGCATCTGACCCCCTCCCCGGGCGTAAATGCGCTTACATTTCTCCGGACCCCTGGAGGGTCGCGGGGTGATGTAATGCGCTCCGGGCCCTTACAGGGCTGAAGGGCTCCCCTCGCCTGCCTGGGGGGCAGGAGGGGGAGAGCCCTCCATACTATAGTCCCTACACACTCTGCACAGGGTCAGTGGCGGAGTGGGGGGACATAGGGGGCACTTGCGTTCTCCCCGTGCTCTTTAGGGACTCAGGAGGGAGAGTGCATAGTGAACCCATACAGGGCTGCGGACTTTCCCTGTCTGCCTATGGGCAGACGTAGGGGAGTCCTCAGCACTATTTTTGAGCACACTTTTTTGCGAGGCAAGCGCGTCAGGGTGTGCTCTATCGGCCGCAGCCCGGACTTCTCCACGGTTACAACCGAGGGAGAGGTGAGTGAGGCGCAGTGGCTGCTAAAGCCGGTCAGGGACAGTGAGGTGGAACGGTGTGCTGGACGACAGTGCGTGCATACATCGGGGCTCCGCCCACTGTACCCATAGAGTCCAGTAGAGGGCGGAGCCTGTGAGAGATATAACGTCGGGTTACGTATTGTAACCCTTGTTATATTAACACAGGCGGAGCCCTCTACCTTGGGGGCACTGTCTGTCCTATACCGCTCGCTGAAGAGTGGTGTAGGATGGTGGTCAGAAGGCGAGGCCTCCTTTTATACGGAAGTGAGATGCGCACGCATTCAGGTAGGCCCGCCCCGGGGCCGGCTACGTCTATAGAAATCTCAGTAGGTGAATGCTTGCATGATAAGGTAGTACCCATAAAGTCCAGTAGAGGGCTCCGCCTGTGTTAATATAACAAGGGTTACAATACGTAACCCGACGTTTTCAGTTACACTTAAGTGGAAAATCTATACCTGGTATTTTACGGACACTGCTCAGGGAGCCCATAATGTCATCAATGTTCTCTGTCAGCAGGGTGGTCTGCTGATTGGGTTTGAAGGTGCCACACACCAGTTTGGCCAGTAGTTTGCTGGTGGCGATGCCAGCGCAGCCAGTGAGTCCCAGTTTGCCTTTGATGTCTTCTCTAATCTCTGCTGCAATGTGTGAACCTAAAGCCAACCTTGGGTGATCCTGGGCTTCAAGTTCTGCACCTGGGCAGGAAAAGAAACACATAATTATATCTGTGGGTGTAAAAACCTACAATTCTTCATGAGAATCCAAAAGTAAACGTTTCATGAGGTGAAGAAACTGAGAGTGCAATGCAAATATTTTAATTAATTTGTTGGCTTTTTCACTACTCATTTGCTGGTTTCAAAGAGCCAGATGTAATGAGGTGGAAAATCTTGAGTCAATACTGGACTCGGGATTCTTGGGGTAAGCACCGATTGTTGTATTTGTTCAGTAAATACAAACACATTTTGAACAAGACACACTAGAGAAACAAAAAATGACTTACTAGTATGGTTGTAGACGTGTCCTTTAAATGAAAAGTTGTTAGACTCTGGTGTCTCTGCTAGCCTTCTTTCTACCATCTTTGTAATGTCTACAAAGTTTTCATCAAATCCAAGCCTCTCTACCAGTGGACAGTAGGACATGAGCAGCTCTGAACGAAGACAAGAGAAAAACAAGGTAAATATGAACAGACAATATGTGAGCTAAAATATAAAATAGCATAGAATAATCATCAGATAATAAAATTTGAACCACAAAAAGCATGTATCCAACTCGTTTTAATCTCGCTCAACTATTATTTTATACCACTTAACAGCCATAGACCAACATGATAAATTAATATGGGGCATGAGTTTAAGTGTGTTCTGTGTTGGATTATAGCCTACTCTTAATACTAAACACAGTATTTCACATTTAGATTACAGCTTTATTTGGGGGAAATCGTGCCTACCTGTCAGTTTATAGGACATTTCTCTGTAGTGTGTCAGGTCTTCTCCTTTAACCAACACTAGCTGAGGACATTTCTCCTTTGCGTCAGTCACAGACATCAGCTTGGAGACCCCCAGATCTCTTGCTACATAGTTACAGGTGACTATGATGTATTTCTGCTGAATACCTGATGATTTAAGATATTATACGTTATTGAAGCACAATGCGAGAGTGTATTCTTCCACCACAGAGGATCTTTTGGAGTGAATCTGTTTACCTAAAGGGACCTCTCTCAGTGCAGGGTTTCTGATCATTTCCACCTGAGCATAGAAGCAGTCCAAGTCAAAATGCAAAATGACTCTGTGTGCAGGCGTTGGTCCTGATGTCTTATTGAGGCTTGGATCTGAAACAAGACATTAGTCATACACAATTCACCATTTAACACACATAGATAGGTGAGAAACAGAGACGTTTTTTTGTATGCATGTTAAAAAGCAAAATGAAAGCGGAAATAAACTGCAGTTAGCCAAACATTCTCCCTTTACCAGAAGCAGCAGCGGGAATGAGTGGGATTGAATCTACGAAACTGTATTTCCACTCGGTGTCATCCTCTTCCTTTTCATCCTCGCTGTTAGCCATTTTATACAACTCAAATGGTGTGCGTCTTGTGGATTAAATAGGTGGTTGTGGTTGGTGACAGCGACCATAGACTGTATGGTTGCGACCTGGAAAGTGCACCAAAACAATGAAAATACTTTTTCATGTTAGTCCCAGATCAGTTCTGTTCAGTAGCGCCATTGGCGGGTTTGCGGCGAAACAAGGAACTACAAAACAGCCCAACACATCATAACGCTTATTGCTTGACATTTATTATATTTATTCGAGTAGGCCTACTCAATTAATTGTACTCTAATAAAAATAATATTAACAGGAATAATAATACAACTGTACCCTAACAGTGCAGTATCGAGCACACGTGACCCTGTATGAGGATTATACATAGAATACAGCCGGCCCGGCCAAATATTTATGACATTTTACTCCACAAAAGTATACATATTCAGGGACAGAACCTTTATATACAGTCTATGGACAGAACACATTTTATTTCGCATCTGGAAATATACATTTTAGGGGATTTTCGCGCCCTGACCGGTGCCTATATTACGGAGGCTGGTGTCACTCAGTTTCAGTAGGAGCCTGCACCTGTTGTGTTGACGGCTCATTAGTCACAGACTGTTTGTTGCGTATCGAGAAGAAGTGTTGTGTTTGCTGATGTTTCCCTCGTCTGGTCTTTTTGCTGATATAAACTGTCCATTCTCAAAACGTGGGCTTTGTGAGCGACCTCACTGTTTGTACAAACATGCCACGGAACTGCGGGATAAGTTTGGTGCCAAGTCTGCCAACTATAAATCATCGATAGTTGATTTTGCAGGTCAGTGGTTTAAGCTAATGTTATCCTAGCAACATGTGCAGGTGTGCATTAGCCCGTTGTCTTTGCCTGTTGCGTTTTTACAATTGCAAAGTAAATGAACTGTAAAGTGGGTTGAATAATGATGTTCTTTTAAAGGTTTGAACTAGTAACTTTTAAAGATGACTCAACTTAATTGTGTAATGTTAATTACGTTCCTAAAATAAGGGTTAGAAATGTACTTGAACACTTTAAGAGCAGTGGCCACTCTTGTTCCCTGTATTTTTATTTGTAAATGTTATCAATTTTCACACGTATCTTTAACTCTGAAAGAGCTTTGCTAATGCTAAGTCCTATTTCATTTCCCTTTTGTACAGGAGTTCAAAATGGCTATGCAGTGAATGATGAGACCAAAGATGACTGCCTCCAAGAGCTGGAGAGGATCAACAAGGAGATTGAAACTGTAAGGCATGAGGTAGAGCAGGAGCAAAAGCGACTCTCACGCTACCAGACCATACAGGCAGACGGCAAAAACACTGCTACTCTTTCCACGCCTGAGACTGCAGGTAAACTTAAAGGTAAAGGTACCTGTGGGCGATCTTCATACACAACCTTTACAAAAACGTACTCCCGAGAACGGAAGTACGTAGTTGACAATTCAAAACCAAGGACTGATTTGGAGTATGACCCTCTGTCCAACTTTTCTGCTGGCATACGGTCCTACAGCTCAGCAGGTAAAGAGCAAAAAGGGAAAAATGGACAAGGTTTGAAAAGGTCAAGAAATGCTGTTCCTTGTGACCAAAATAAACCAGTTTTATGTCAGCCTGAGCCTTCCTGCTCGCCTTCTCCAGAGCCCCTTGATGACTCTAATGAAGACAGCGTCCTGATTATCGATATTCCTCCCTCGCCTGACAAAAAAAGAGTGAGAGCTCAACAATCTGGTGATTCTGTTGCTGGCAAATACCTCAAGGAAGAAGCAGACAAATTAGAGGTTAAAAAAACACATATTTTACTTCTAAACACTGAGGCGTGCAAAGTAACATCTCAACCCGCATCAAAGATAAAAGGAAATAGACTTTCTAGTAACTGCGTAGCTGAAAACACGAAAAGTCGTATTAATGTTTATGAGAACAAAGAATGTGAAAATATACCAGTTGATGGGAGTGTGATTGACTTAACTGACTTTTCAGAAGACCTGCGATGTGAAACTCAGGAAATGACTCACTTTCAGGCTGCAGAAGAAGTATTTGAGAAAATTACTGGACCTGCAAGTCCTGCCAACTTAGACCAGCAAGTTAACGACTGGAACAATCTGCTGTTTGAAAAGGAAGAAAACGCGTTTCCTCAGTGTGAGTTCCCCAATTTTGCTGAGAAAATGAATCTACTGCAGTCGCATAATTTTCTACCAAATAATTCACTTTTTTATAACGCTCCAGATGCTAATTCAGGCTCTCTGTGTACACAACATACTAAGCAAGCCCAGGCAGAGCAGCCTGCTCAGAACAGGGTTAGTTATCAGCCAGGACAGATGCAGGGTCAAGCTGCTGCACCTGAAAACTACCTGGAGCCAGCAGAGCCCACTTCAGACAATGGCAACGGTCAAGCTTGGCATGAGTCATCAGCATCAAATATGATCACTGGAGCTGAATCGGCATCCAATGAACAGCTTTTGGTGAAAGAAAAGACTGTGGGGGTAGTACTCATTAGCTCTGATGATGACGATGAACTGAACTATTCGGATATGGAGCTGTCGGACAGTGACCCAATGGAGGAATGCTACAGGATCTTCATGGAGGCCAACGAGAATAATGGAAATGAGGAGCAGCCCGATGTATCTGTATGTATGCTGTGGTCACTCCAGAACCAAGATAAAGAAATGTCTCCCAGAGTATCAAACTATTTTCCGTCACCCTGTCATTTTTAGGTTGGCGCTATGGAAGAAGAGAAGACTAAGTTAGATGTCAAACCACAAGCATTGCCAGGAAAGAAGAGGCTGGCTCATGAAGCCAAACGTATAGAGGTACTTGCGCATGCCAGGGCTGATGTTGGGGGAGGCACTCCTGAACTGGAGGGGAATACTTTAACAAAAGCTAAAAAGATGAACTCAAACAAAATAGTATAAGATTCAGCAAACATTTTATATTATAATATATTATTTTTGTCGTAGGCTCATTTCTATCTCAAACAAGTATTCTGGAAATTATAAACGTTTACCATATGAAAATTAAGATATCATTTATGTAAATTCCCTATTACTGATCAAACAAATCAAGATATCCGCACATGTACACAAATCTAAATATTTTTGAATGGCCATTACCCCTTTTGACATAAAAAACATATGTTTAGCATTTTTTGATTCACCTGATTTGTTCAGCAGCCAGCGAGTAAGAGCAGACCTCAACCCCAGGTGCTCGTTCCCCTGCGTGGGCCTGCGGTGTCAGGATTTGCGTCCCAGCCCTCCATCACCTCTGAGATCCAGCAGGTACAGCAGAGAGCCTCCATGCTGACGGCTTCAGTTAAAGGTGTTCAGCCTCTGGTTCACTCCAACTCTCAGAGGAGGCTAGAGACCCAGGTTGCACCTTTGCATTCAATTCAAACACTTGAAAACCTGCAGCCTGCTCCTGTGCAGAATAGTAAGTATTATCAGCTGTGGAGGACGGGTTTGATTACGTCTTTTTCTTTTTGCTGTTGAAAGATTACCATTTAAATGTCAACATCAGTTGTTTTCCATATAAAAAAAGTTAAATAAAATGTAGGGAAAACTATTCACTTAATTTCTAAAGTTGAAGCCTTTTTTAAATGTTATTACTCTTGTGCTTTTATTGTCAGTGGGCATGTTAGAATATATATGCTTTTCCATCCACCTGTTTTTCCAGGTTTCTTCATTGTTTCTCACTGTTAGAAGTCCCATTAGTCCACTTTAAAGGATGTCTTGTTGTGCCCTTCGGCAATCGTTTTCAGACTAGAGAATTGGCTCCACCTACTGCTCATCTTAATGATGCAATTCCTAATGATCACATAATGTTAGCTGATGGAAACAAGCATTCATTCATTTGCTTTTACTGATTTCACCTACATTGGGTTTAGATAAGATGGAACTACATTTATCCCCGTAGTGAAATTCAGGCGTTTATAGCAGCAACAGTGACTGATTTTTAATGAAAACCTTGCAATAGACATTTTACCAGTAACAAATCTTGAGACATGCTATTTCACTACTGTATGAAGATCAGGCAGTATTTAATTTCTGTTTTTTTTTTATGCAAAATCTTGAGATTGTTATCCTGTTAAAGCAGCTTTGCCCAGTGCATAACATCTGCATGTGTTTTTTCTTTTTGTGTTATTCCACAGCTTACATGAACTACATATCTTTGGGAACGGCTGTAATCGGAGTGGGCAACAACTTGCACTTGATCCTCCCAGAAGGCACCTTTCCTCTGCCTGTCACTTCCAGCCAAGTTACTTCAGTGCTAACCCCAATCAGTCATTTGCCTACAAGCTATGGCGCTGTAAGACAAATGTACCATCTACCTGCAGTAACCCCCATGCAAAGATACCGCACAACAGCACCTGTGCTCATCCCCGCGCCGGCACGTAAACCTTCACTGACCTCTGCCTTTGCAGCAACACTTTCAAGTCCAGCCGCTTCCACTACCTCTCAAACTGCTGTCCATGCTGGCCTTAAGGTGATGTATGCAAAGCAGCATTTGTTGGGTCTGAACTGAAGAATTGAACTAAACTTGTCTTGTCAGTTGGCCATGTTTCATCTTTTAAATATACTATAATGAATTTATCCTTTTAAGCTGGTGCCTACTAAACGTAAGATGAAGCAGCAGTGCGAGACGGTCAAAGTTCCCCATGACACCCGACAACGTTATGTCAACTTGTTCACAGAGGAGTTCCTCAAGACAACAGCCAATGTTAATGATGCCTTTGAAAAGGTGAGCTTGTGCCACCATATGTCAAATTCACTTACAGTTTACATTTTAATTTCTATCCCTTTTGTGGGTTATAGGCACTTGCTGAAGAGAAGGCTGTGTATAATCGCAGTATGAACAAACTCAAATATATGAGTGTTGCTGTAAATGCACTGAAGAAGCTGAAGAACCAAGTTGCCGTTGCTGATAAAGGTGAGCATTTTTGCGAACCCATTTATAACCGTGAAACCGTCATAAAATGTCAAAGCTATATTTTAGTTATATTTAAACCCTTTTTTTCTGGTGCA